GTTCCCATCCCAACTGCCAGTCTCCTGGCTAAAGAGATCACAAAGAAACCTAACAACTAGAAGACAGTTTAGACACGACTCTTCAACCCCCTTTCTTTGGAATTTAGGCATAACTGACCAACGGTAACATTAAAATAGAGGTCATGAGACTGAAAAAACAGACTCTTTGCAGCAACAAGACCCCAAATTCTAAACTGACTCTGGTATAGTATCGTACGACAGATAGCAACTCCAGAAGGGAATTAAGATATTTTACCCCAAAATGTATTTCTTTGACACATTCTGGAATGATCCTGCAACGCCATTTCTTGTGGGGTGAAATTTGCATTTGGTAGAGAATCTGCTTCCCTTACTAGGTCTTTTAAGGATCCAGAAGATATTTAAGTAAGACTCTTATACATTTTACAATCTATTCTCTCTGCAGCCTGCTACTTAGAGGCTTTGTCTATATAACAAGAATTCTGGGTTTGAAAACCATCTTACCACAACTGACGCATTTCTTTCTACTGATTTCTTAAGTCTTTCGACAAGGCTTAACTCTTTCAATCAACTGCGAATCATAAAATCTTTGAATCCACCTATGACCTATAAGTCATCACTACAGGAAGTCCCACCTTTCTGGGCCAAACCAATATACATCTTCCATGTATTGATTTATGTCATGGACTGTAATTTCTGCCTCCTTAAAAGTGTATAAAGCGAAGCTATAACCTGACCACTTTGGGAATGATTGTTCTGGGAACTCCTTGAGGCTGTGTACAGGCTGTGATTACTCATATCTGGCTCAGAAAACACCTCTTTAAATATTTTAGAACGCTAGACTTTTCTTTTTTGTCAACAGCATATATATTTATTTATTTAAGAAAAAATATATATGCTGTTGACAAAATAGCATATATATATATGCTTTATATATGCTGTTGACAAAATAGCATACATATGCTTTATTTATTGACATCAATAAACAGAAATTAATTAGCACCTCCAAGAACATGCCCATGCATCCTTCCAGCCACCAACCCTCCAACAGTATAGGATAGCTTTGCTGGATCTGTGCTTTACATGAAGGTACTCTTCTGTGGCTTGCTTCATTGGTTTAACATTATGCTTGCAAGTAGTATTAGAACATGTATTATTATTTTATGAATATGTCACAATTCATCCATTTCACCATCAGCGGGCTTTTGATTGCTGTCATATTTTTTGTTACCATATGTCTTTTGTTAACATTATGCATACATGTTATCCATTTTGTGTTATTGTAACAGCATATCTGACGCTGAGTAATTTAAATAAAAAGAGATTTATTTAACTCATGTTTCTGCAGGATATACAATAAAAATGGTGCCAGTATCTGCTCAGTTTCTGGTCAGGGCCATGTGCTGGGTCAAAACATGGTAGAGGTCACAGGGTAAAGCAGATATGTGTGAAGAGTGAGGCAAAAACCAAACGGACATCTGGCTTCATAACCACCCACTCTCCCAGGAACTCATCTATTTTTGCAGGAACTAAACCAGTCTTGCCAGAGTGAGAACCCACTCACTACCACAAGAATGGCGCAGAGGTATCCATGAGGGATCTGACCCCATGACCCAAATATCTTCCAACAGCACCCTCAACCCACCACATTGGGAATCAAATTTCAACATGTATTTTGGTAGAGATAAATCATATCCAAACTATAGCGTTGTGTCCCTTACTCCAAAAACGAATGGCTTTCTGACACACAAAAATACAATCATTCCATCCCTGTAGTCCCCAGAGTCTTGACTGATTCTAGCACCAACTCAAAAATTTAAAGGACAAAGTCTCATCTGAGACTCAGGGAAGCTCCTTCCAACTATGAGCCTCTGAAACCAAAACAAGTCATTTACCTCCAAATAACAACGGTGGGACAGACATTTGGTAAAAGTTTCCATTCCAAAAAGGACAATTTGACTAAAGAAATAAATGACAGACCCCATGCAAGTCTGAAACCCAGCAGGGCCCACATTAAATCCTGAAGTTCCAGAAAAATCTTATTTGACTCTATGAACCAGGGCACACTGTGCAAGGAGTTGCTCCCAAGGCCTCAGGCAGTTCTGTCCCTGTGGAACTGCTGGGCATAGGCACATGCCTGCTCTCAGGAATTGAAGTTCTATGCCTGCCTCTTCTCCAGGCTGAGGTTGCATGCTGCTGGTGGCAGTAACATTCCGGGGTTCCTCTCCCATCCTGCCCCCATGGTTCCATCAATCATTGCCCCAGCAGAGACTCACTGTGGCAGCTCTGGGCTCACATTTCCAGTAGGCATTGCCTTATTTAGTAGAGGCTCTTGCCACTGGCTCCACCCCTGTGGCATGTTTCTGACTGGACTTTCAGGATTTCCCAACTGTCCTGTGAAATACAGGTAGCACATGTAATATCTCCATGGCTCTTTTATTTTGGGCACCTGCAGACATGTGGAAGCCATGGCTTACCATGTGGGCTCTCTGGAGTAGCCAGAGACATATATGGGGCTTTTGGAGCCACTGCTAGATGTATGAAGCAGGCTTCTGAGGCAACACACGGCACCAGGCTCAGGCTAGTCTTCCAAAATAATTTTGCTTTCTCAGGCCTTGGGACTACAAAGGGAAGGATGGCATGGAAGAGCGCTGAAATGCCGTTGAGACTCTCTTCCCTTTGTTTTAACTATTAGCACCTGGCTCCTTTTTATCCAAGCTAATCTCTAGCAAAGGGTATCTTGGCTGTACCTCTGGTTTCCTCTCCTGAAAACACTAACTTTTTTTTTGAGACAGAATTTGGCTCTTGTTACCCAGGCTGGAGTGCAATGGCGCAATCTCGGCTCACCGCAACTTCTGCCTCCTGGGTTCAGGCAATTCTCCTGCCTCAGCCTCCTGAGTAGCTGGGATTATAGGCACGCGCCACCATGCCCAGCTAATTTTTTGTATTTTTAGTAGAGACGGTGTTTCACCATGTTGACCAGGATGGTCGCGATCTCTCAGCCTCGTGATCCACCCGCCTCGGCCTCCCAAAGTGCTGGGATTACAGGCTTGAGCCACCACGCTCGGCCGAAACCACTAATTCTTTACCACATAGGGCCACAAATTTTCGAAAAATTTACACTCTGTTTCTCCTCTGTTGCATAAGTTAACCTTATGCATTAGAGGTGGCTACACAGCAGCACAAGACCTTTGACGCTTAGAAATTTCTTCCACCAGATAAAGTAGTCCATTTCTCTTCCATTCAGTCTCCCACAAAGCCCTAGGCCACGGACATCATGGGCCCAAGATCTTGGCAACTGTGTAACCGGGTTGAGCTTCGCTCCAGTTTCCTCATTTCCTTCTGAGAACGCATCAGAATGGCCTCTACTTGTCTATATTTCTAACAGCATTTTGGCCAGAACCACTTAATCTCTAAAAAGCTGCAAACTTTCTCTTGTCTTTTTATTTTCTCCTTAGCTTCACAATAATTATCCTTAATGCACCCTTCAGGCTAGTACAGTTTTTCCTAGCCCTTCCTCCAAACTCTTCCAAATTCAGCCCAGTACCCAGTTCCAAGTCACTTCCATATTTTCAGGTATCTTTATCACAACACCCCACCAAGAGGCTTATTTTGACTGTGGTTCTGAAGGCTGAGAAGTATGAGAAACGTGCTGCCAGCATCCGTTTGAATCCTGATGCAGAGCAAATGCTAGTTCAAAACACGGTGGAGAAGGTCAAAGGGGGAGCAAAACCCAAAGGATATACTGGCTTTATAACAACCCACTCTCCATAAATGAAGTAATTCCTCCAAGAGGTAGTTCAGTCTTGCTAGAGTGAGGACTCACTCCCTAACACAAGGATAGCACCAGGCCATTCGAGAAGGATCTGCCTCCACGAATCAAACATCTCCGACTAGGCCTGACCTCCCAATAACACCATGTTGGGGATCAAATTTCAACATAAGTTTTGGTGGGGACAAACAAACCACATTCAAACTATAATACAGCTATTAAGAATTCAGTCGAAAATGGACCTGCAGGGTGCACGATATGGGTATGCTTAGCTTCAGTCACAGCAGCTGCACACAGCATGGTGGATAGATGTGTTTTGTTGCTCACTTGCCTGTTTTATTTTGGTTCATGGTCTTTCCCCACTGGAATGTAAATTTCTTGAGTGCAAGTGCTTTGTTTGTCTTGGTCAAAGCATGAATGAGTGAATGAGGAAGCTGTGTCTGAAGAATACAGTGTTCTATCAATTACATTTCTTGAAATCCTGCCATCTAGTCCACTAATTAAAACTGTTATCCTACAGAATTTTCCTACTTCCCTGAAACTCACTGTTCTTACATGTAAACTGCAGCTCATAACAAGTTCTACTTCTTGTGTTATGAAATTGTTAAAGGTTGATGAACCCAGCAAGGCACATAAATTTTTAAGTTTTAGATGGAGATTGTTGAATGTGATTCTGATTATGACTATGATAATGTTTCTATGGTGATAATCCCACATGGTGAATTGTAATGTTGATCAAGTCACCCTTTTGATGATGAGCGAACTCTGTATAACTGGACACTAACCATGGATTGACACATGCTTTCTGACCTCAGTTCCTGGATCAACATGGAACATGAATATTAACTATGCCCTAATGCTATTACTTAACCTCGATGATCTCATGAGATATTTGAAAAGTCTTTTACTGCCTTCCTAACCCATCTTCCTCCTGTGTGTTTCTGCAGTGTTTTAGAACCCCCTTCCCCTGAGACGTACAGTGTTCTCATGGTGTCTTTTCTGGGCAATGTCCTTTGCTTCCATCCATTGATTTTAAGTATCTGATGAATAGTTTTCACTAATGTGTTGTAAACAAACAAAAGATAATACTATACTTTTACTGAAAGTAATAAGCACCCAAGTGTAGTGAATACATTACTACCTGCTTAGGAAGACTATGTTCAGTGACTCTTTCTACCAGCTTGCAAATGGAAACACATTTTAGTGCTTATGGAACCCTCTTGCATTTATTTAGAATACATGTGAACACGGCAGGAGAAAGAGAACATATAAGAAAAAAAGAGAAGAGAAAGAAAAGAGATCAAAAGGATATGTTTTTTACATTAATTAATTTGTTTCTGCCAAGTGAACGCTCTTTGAGGAAGAAAGCACACTGACACTGTCATTCCTCTGCCTCCATAACACACAACAATCAACACAGAAGATGTCTGAGACCAAATGAGTGGGGAATTTGGATACACACAAAGCAAACAATCATTTCTTCCGGGGACACCAATTGGATGTCCTCCAAATCAACTGCATTCTGCACTATCTACAGTCAAATGCTCTACCCCAAGCTGTACTCCCATGCCCATCTGCCACATTCTGTGTGGAAACAGTGTCAGATCCCACAGAGTGACGGCTCAATCCCATAATACTGCCTTCCATTTCCATTGCCAATCACAAGCCCCAAATTGTCCTGTGCTTTTGACCGACTGATTATAAATTGGGGATCCCACAGCCCTTCCTTGGGTTCAGTTAATCAGCTATGGAGGCTCACAGAACTCAAGGAAACACTTACTTATGTTTACCATTTATTATAAATGAAATCATGAAGGATACATATAAACAGCCAGATGAAAAGACACACAGGTGAGGTCTGGAAGACACAAGAGCGTCTGTCTCTGTAGAGTTGTGGCAGGCCACCCTCCAGGCACGTGGGTGGGTTCATGAGTTTAGCTGTGCAGAAGTTTTCCATAGCTTCTCCGTTTATGAAGACTTTATTGAATAGTCATGATTGAAACATGGACAATGGTATAGAAATATGATTGAACAAAAAGAGTACGACCTAATGTTGATAGACAGAGTGGGGACAGCCATGAAGCCCGGTCTGATCAGATTCTTCTTGGCCTCTCTGTACAGCGTTCCCTCCTCCAGGGCATGAGAAGAGGACCTCTTTTGAAACAGAGGTCTTATGACCTACCGTCAGACAAGGTAGTCAGATAGTTTCTTTATCGCCAAAAGTGGGGAAAGATTGGATTATGTTTTTAGTTTCTAAGGCTTGCTTTGGGGAGAAAAAGAAGCAGGTGAAAAGAAGGAAGGAGAAGGTCACAGAGAGAGAGTCAGTTTTTTGAGAACTGATTCTGAAGCCTAAAGCACCACAACATTGTAACATGACTATGGAATCATGAACCAGAAACCCTGGACCAAAAACCGACATTGTCATAATGTCACTCCTCCCTTTTCACTTCATCTTTCAGTGAAAGCATAGTCACAGTCGCCACAGAACCTCCCATTTGCCACACTCATGGGAAGGAGTTGACTGTCAAAAGACGCTTTCTGACACCCTTTGAGGACCCTTGAACCTCCCCAGTGCTCTCTTCAGAGCTCCAGTCACGTCCTTGTTTCTAAGGCTGTAGATAAGGGGGTTCAGCATGGGCGTGAGAATGGTGTAAAACACAGAGAGCACTTTGTCCTGGGCTGGTGTGTGGTAAGAGTGTGGCAGCATGTAGGTGTACATGGCAGCCCCGTAGAACAAAGACACCACAGTCACGTGGGAGGAACAAGTGGTGAATGCCTTCTTCCTGCCCTCCACTGAGCTCATGCGGTGAACTGTGGTCAGGATTCGGGCATAGGAAGCGAGGACTACAGAGAAAGGAATCAGCAGCATCAAAACACAGCACACATACATCACCGTCTCGTAGAGGGCTATGTCTGCACATGCCAGCTTCAGGACTGCCGGTGCCTCACAGAAGAAATGGTTAATCTCCCGGGAACTGCAGAAGGGAAAGCTCATGGTGATGGGGGTTAGGAGAAAGCCATCCAAAGAGCCCCCAAACCAAGAACCTGCTATAATCATCCAACAGACCCGGCGGTTCATGAGGACAGGGTATCGCAGAGGGTTGCAGATGGCCACATAGCCGTCATAGGCCATGAGGCCCAGAAGGAAGAATTCAGCTCCCACGAGGGTAAGGTAGAGGAAGTGTTGAGCCGTGCACCCAACAAAGGAAATGGTCTTTTGATCCAGCAGATAATCCACCAGCATCTTAGGCACAATGGTGGAAATGTACATCATGTCAATCAAGGAGAGGTGGCTGAGGAGGAAGTACATGGGCGTGTGAAGGCGCAAGTCTGTTTGGATCAGGAAGATCATAACCCCATTGGCCGTCAGTGCAGTGAAGAAGATGATGGAGATGACGGCGAAAAGAAGACCTGAGGTTTCCTTTCTGTTGAACAGCCCCATGAAAGTGAAGTCTGTAGAGGATGTGTTATACGCTTCCATTGATCCTGCAATGGTGCTCATAGAAGGCAGCGTCTTCCAAATGAGATGACAGCATTCCCAGGGCATTAAAATAACAACATAGTAATTCATTGTTAGGCAGCAAACTTTTAAAAGTGGGAAGAAAACATTTAAAAAGTAGCAGTCTTGGCATATTGGAACTGACATCTAGCATTCGATCTATCCCAGAAGGTTTTTAAATAAAATTATTCATCAGTAATTGTTTAAATACAGTGGAGAAGATGATATCAAGGAGTTGGGGAGAGATAGCCTGGGGAGAAACGCCAGATATAGGTGAAGGGGAAGAAGGCAGCAAATCACTCTGCCATGTATGTACCTATGCAACAATCTTGCACGTTCTTCACATGTACCCCAAAACCTGAAATGCAACAAAAAAAACAGATGATAGCGTATTACAGTGATATATGTAACAATGCCTATGTAGTGTGCCTAGGATGCCACACAGCAGTTAAACTTACCACGGTCTGGGGTGTGTGTGTGTGTGTGTGTGTGTGTCTGTGTGTGTGTGTGTGTGTGTGTGTGTGTCTGTACTACCTTAGATGCTTTTCCATTTGTATTATTATGTAAGGCATCTTTGAATGGTCAGCATCTCACCACCACCTTCAAAAGGTCTTTGGCGCTGGCTGTGAGTAGCTCATGTCTTCTATTTAGCCACAAGTGTGGGTTATCTACCGTTTGGATCAAAAGTCACTGTCTACATTATGAGAGTTCACTTGGTGTCCATTTATTCATGTTCTAGACAAATTATAAGGGATGAAATAAAAAGAGCAACAGAAACTCGATGAAAACTACTCTTGCAAACATAGCAATTATTCTCAATACAAGAGTCATTCAGTGTTCTAGAATTTTATTTATTTTTAATTTTAAGATGATGAGGAATTTGCATTAGGATCATGATTGAAACTAGTATTAGCAATTGCAATTCAGAGGAAGCAACACGGGGACATCAACTCTGAGCTATAACTCAGTGATTATTTTTGGAAATTAGAATTTTTCATAGTTCTTAGTAATGAAGAAAAACAGAGTAACTGTTTTTTATACAATTTCAGGTTACAGTAAAGAAACAAATATCCCCAACAAACTTCATGAAAGTAAAGGATAATTTTTCATGTGTTTGAAGGCTAAATGTATTCCAAGAAAGACATTTTACCAAAATATTTGGGACTAAAATTGATCAAACTGGTCTAATGCTCCTCTAAATATTCTAAAAGTACAAACATTTGAGTCAATAAACCAGAAAAATAAATTGCTTTTGAGAATAGTGATGACATGGTGTGGTTTACTTTTGCAAAGTGTCATGCTAAGAAGTGCTTTGTATGTATTGACTGACCGATCTTTACAATAAAACTAAGAAGTGAGGAGCTGTAAAACCTCCCTTTCACCAATGACAGAATTGAGGGTAATGTGTTGGTTTTCACAGGGTCAGTTAGTGTGAAGAGCGTTTGGACTAGATAGTCTTAATTCATTGGTTGTTCATACACACGGCATGTGTACACAGGAATAACAGCTAGACATTTACTGTAATAAATGTAGTAAAATAAAATGTACCATGTGAATCTGCTAAATTGTTAACAATGTGTAATAATTAATGTGACTACTGAAAATTAGTCATAATTGAGAGTGGATTACATAAATTATTATAATCAGGATTGCTGTTTTATGGATATAAACTATGTATATAGATGTATGCACATATATAAAAATGTACACATATATACATAGGTATATTATATGCATACTATGCATATGTATATTTTGCCAATTCAGAATCTTTGGTTTTGTACATTTCTCTGATACTATGTACAATGTCATAATTATTTACACTCTACCTCATTTTATTTTTACTTTTTCTAGGTTTCATTAAAGGAGCCCATTAAAATATATATTTAAAGTGAAACTGCTGTCCACTTTATGTCATAGCCTAAAATTAGCAGTATTTCAACTACTTCCACACTTCCTGCATTTTGAGCTTGACTTTTATTGTGCCTTAAGACACCAGAAACAGAGAAAATCATGTGCTGCTTCACAAAGTCAGATAGCACTCTCTGCTCTCTGTTCATGCTTGCTCCAGTTTTACACACACACACACACACACACACACACACACACGCAATAGCACAGGGACATACATATTGAGCTATAACTCACTGATTATTTTTCAAAATTAGAATTTTTCCATAACTGCGGTAATTAAGAAAAACTGAGTTTCTGTTTTTTACAGTTTCAGGTTACAATAAAAATATCCACCATAAACTTCAAGAACATAAAGGATGATTTTTTTATCCATTATATATATATGCATATACATTCATAATCTCCTCCCATGGATTTACATATGTGTAAGTATAATTATTCTGCAGTTCTAGGTTTTTCTAATGCCAGCTAGCCCTGTAGTCCTAGCAACACAAAAGAAAACTCTAAAGTGGACTCCATTTCGGAGCCAACTGGCCTTACTTTTCCCATCTGCACACATAGATCTAATTTACCAGAGAGAAAGGCCTCCTCAAAGTAAATTGTGATTCTAAGTAAAATGTTTTGTTACATTTATTGTCTGCTCTCTCACTAGAGTGAGCACGGTAAGTACCTATACGTACTGAATTTCTCCTGGGCATAGATCATACGGCTTTGCTATGGTTTAATACACATAAAAATAATCGGAAAATGTTTGGAATGATTATCTGACTTATAGAGGCATTTGCTTCTGAAATGTTAAGACGACAGACAGTAAAACAAAGTTTAGAATTAAATGAATTGAGTTCTTCCTCTGCTCATGGCATTAATTAATTCTGTGACCTTGGATTCTCTTCCCAAACACTCTGAGCCTCAGTATCTGTTTATATTAATGGAGATAATAAAACATTCAGGGTTACTTTAAGAATCAAATAAGAAATTTATAGTTACTGGCAAAAATACTTTATATAATACAAAGTAAAATGGCAGCGTTATAAAATATATGCAAATTATTTCAAAACTGTTGGTGAATGGGTATGAATTCTCAATCTCTCATTTAAGCAACGTACATATTCAACTGAAATTTATGAATTTGAATTGAAAATACCTCCTGATCTTCAGAAAAGGTCTGTAAACAAAGGCACTCCCAGTGAAGTTACATCAGCAGCTAAATTCTATCCTTTCCTCCAGAGAGCCTTTGACTTGAAAGAAATGTTATTTACTAAAACTTCTCAGAAAAAGGAGAGCATTGAAGTTAAGCTTGCAGAAAAGCTAAATTTCTTTGAAGAGCAGAAGTGTGCTTGGCCTGCAAATTTTGAGAACATTAGAAAAAAAGTTAATGGATAAAATAGACATGATTTTATTGGATAAAACTGTCTTTTACGCTTACTTAAACTATGGTTTGGTGCATAACACCACACACCAAGAGATAAATCAATGCATTCATGTTATCAGGGCATTTGTGAATATTCTCCACTATTTTATAAGGGGTATGTTTGGTTGACTAGGGATTGCCGCAAAGTTTTTCCTCCCACGTCACTACAGTTTGAAGTTAGGACACAAGGCTTGCCGGGACTGCGATGATCTCCAAGCGTGTCCTTTACATCAAGTGACAAGATAATGTGAAGTTAAGTTGCGGCCTTTGCCTGCTTCCACATGACCCCTGGTGACGTTTCTGCCAGGGAAACAGCATGCTCCACCCTCCTTCAGTGCAGCCTTGTTGTTAGGAAGCTCTGGGTTCACTGAGATTAAAGCTACTTCATGAAATTTCCTTCCCTGCCTTCTGAATCTGCTTGGAGCCAGTTTTCTCTCCTTGAAACGTGCAACATTTCATAATGTGAATATGACTACAAGGTTTTCCTTCCTCCTTCTCTACACCAGTTATGCTTCTCCAATTCTTTTATGCATTCATATATGATTTTTTCCAAAATACCTCAGTTTTTGCAATGCTCATTTTAGAATGTAATACCTTAATTCTAACAGATTATTCTAGGTGCAGATTTTCCTGTACAGAATACACTGGCAATATTATTTTTCTGTTGTCAGTCCAGACACATCACACTATTGACTCTCTATATATACATTAAAACTTACAGTCATATGTTCATACGAGAAGTTCTTAAGACAGGTCAATACAGTGTTGTGCAATTGTTGAAACTGAGTACAAAAATAGATCTTCTTAAGTTTTCTGTGTTCCTAAATTGTTTAGTGTCTCAAAAAGTTGGAATCATTAAGAATGAACTCACGTTGAAATAATGATCGTACGATTATTAGATACTAAAGTGCTATTGTACTCTGACAATTTTCCAATAACTTAGAACCACAGTCCTCAACTCACATACCCCTCCTCACGAGACCCGTAAAGAGACTACACATGGCCGGGCGCGGTGGCTCAAGCCTGTAATCCCAGCACTTCGGAAGGCCGAGGCGGGTGGATCACAAGGTCAACAGATCGAGACCATCCTGGTCAACATGGTGAAACCCCGTCTCTACTAAAAATACAAAAAATTAGATGGGCATGGTGGAGTGTGCCTGTAATCCCAGCTACTCAGGAGGTTTAGGCAGGAGAATTGCCTGAACCCAGGAGGCGGAGGTTGCGGTGAGCCGAGATCGCGCCATTGCACTCCAGCCTGGGTAACAAGAGCGAAACTCCGTCTCAAAAAAAAAAAAAAAGAGACTACACATCAGAATAAACCCCTGAACAAGCAAGACCTGTTAGTTCTGAGGAGAGTAACTCACAAGCACTAAAAAAATGCTTGTGAATTACTGGCAAAGGGGATCTGAGAAATCCAGGTGTCTGCACGTTGACATCATGGTGGAAGAAACGGTTTTTAAAATGCTTGTACCTTCGACAGTAAGGCAATGTGCCTGGTTTGGAATTGGAAGCCTGTAGGAATCTGCCTTATGTCAGCTGCGTCTCTGAGGAAAGCATTTTTTTTTTTTTTTTTTTTTTTTTTTTTTTTTTTTTATGAGACGGAGTCTTGCTCTGTCGCCTAGGATGGAGCGCAGTGGCGTGATCTCGGCTCACTACAACGTTTGCCTCCCAGGTTAAGGCGATTCTCCTGCCTCAGCCTTCCCAGTAGCTGCGATTACAGGCTTCTGCCACCACACCCGGCTAAGTTTTTGTGTTTTCAGTAGAGACGGGGTTTCACCATGTTGGCCAGGCAGGTCTCAAATTCCTGACC